GTTTTCAAAAACCCAATAACAATATAATATGATAAATTGTAGTCTATTAAACATTGAAATAATTATTATTAAAACTCTATCCCCGCAACGTGACAGAAAAAAAATATATATACATCGTTCCTTTCAAATGTGCGCGTTATCATGTATTTGATACCCATTTACAATAAACTCGAATTAGAGCCTAACGTTCGTTAGGTGTATGCATAGATATAGCACTTGTAAACAAGCTAGTTCTTATATTTATTGTGTTTATATCGTTTCCATCGGTAAACGAATTTCTTTAGCTATTCTCGAAAAATTATTTTTTATTTGGATTGAAATTATTTACTATTACTTAATACTGTATTTATGATATTGTTGAATTGTATATTTTGCGTTTAATGTTAATAATCCTTATTATTTGACTACCAAACATATTCCAAGAATTTTTCGACACTTTATAAGTCTGTTAAGTACGACCTATGGAACTTTTAATCTTCTTAAATTCAAACTATTAACACTAAGGCTCAGGTTAGGTTAGGTTAACCTTACTTATTTTACAAAAATATGTGCTAAAAAGTTTAAAATATGAACTTCACTATTATGATTTGTTTGCTAAGCTTATTTTCTAAAATTATATTAAAAAGGTATATTACAGTATCTTTAAAATAAAAAATATTTGTTTCAAATAACAAACAATGCGTTTAGCTCAATAAACGCTCTAAGCTGTAAAACTTGTACTACAGTTCATCGAATGTCAATTTTCAAATATCAGTAAAAATCAATTAATATGTCTGTAAGATATCTGGTATATTTGTTGATGAAATGTATTTAAACATAAAGTAAATCTAAGCCCTAATTATCATTAGCAAGAAAAACCAGATTTTATTCTCAATACTGTATATTTTAAATTTTGTACATTTAATATAGGTATTGTGTATATATAGTACGTCATTTTCCTAGTGTCTGATATTTAATTATGTATCCGTCGTCACTTTTTGGTTAGTTAGATTATTTGTATATTTTAGGCCATCAAAAAAAAACTACTAAGACGCAATATATAAATACAAATAATATAAATAATTTTAAATGTTGAATTGAATTATTTATCAAAAATATTATAAGTAGATATTGTTACCACTTAGAATATAATATTTTTTTTTGTGTGGCTAACCGATATTTTGTTTTACTTTTTTCTAAACGTGCGATCTTCGACTTAAGTAAAATACATCTAAATACGATATACATATTATTACTTTTATATGTGCAGCGTACATCTATATTTAGGTTGGTACCCAAGTTTCGACCGATTTCGAGAAATAATAAATAATATATCGATATTTTTTTAAGTGTTTTTACGGGTGTATGCGTTTAATATATGTAAACGAATTAGTTTTACGATGTTGTTTAAAAATTTTGTTTTTGTCCAGTCGCACGTATGCATGTTTTGGAGAGTATTTGCAAAAGCAATTTCACGCTGCATCATCCTGCGATGACCGTACACACATTAATAATAATAACGTATATTGGTACATATGTATAGTGATGTTTGTGAGAAATTTCAATTTGTAAATTTCTGATTGCATACGATTGTCTAAGGTATTAAAATATTTTATTTTTATATAGGTATATTATATCACAAGTAAAAACCATTCAGAGTGTATTTTCCCTTTTTATAGATATATTTTCAAATTCACGATATTGCATATATAAAGAATCCGTATTAAAACTGTAAGTACATGTTTAGGTTTGTACTTTCAAATTATTAAATTTCAGAAATGTCATGTTAAAAATTTTTCAAAAATGAAATCACTCGATTTTTTCATTACTCGCTATAATTTATTAATGTAATAAATAATAGTATCATACAATATCAATATATTAGAAAAGTGCAAACTGACGACTTCATAATGTTATTGCAGTAGGTATGTGTGACGGGAATTGCGAATCAGACGTTTGGCAGCGTTTATATGTACAATAGTTCTCCCCTCACCCCAATAAATGACCTCCATACGCCTTAATTTCATGAACATAATATATAGATGTATATCGCGTCAACAGTATTACAATATATCGATATATTGTAATATTTTATTGGTTAAAAAAAAATTACAACTTTATTATCAGCGGGTCACATACCGTCGAATCGTGCCATGAAATTTCAGGAAATTTTCTCGTGTCGTCGTCTGTAAGTAGTAATACAAAAAACCTACGAATTTATAATGTGATCATAAAGTACACGGGTGCCCGTATTATACGCGCCTTTTTATTATATATTATAGTCGTAGTCGTTGTTGTTGTTATTATTATTGTTATTTGTCCGAAGGGGAAAAACGTAAGTACACAAAACGACGTACCTACCTACTGGTAACGCAGCCTTGTAAATGGGACCTTCCGAAAAATAAAAATATACACATAAAAAACGGTATAGGCATACAATACTCGTATATATGTATAAGATCGTTTTTTTATGACCAAAGACCTATGCAATATAAATAAAAAAAAATTAAAAAACCTAAGAAAGAAAACCGCGGTCTACATACCCACTATAATTTTGTATGTACTAAAATAACAAAACAGTAGGTATACGTGTACATAATATTACTTTGGTTTAGTAGCTTTGGGTTATGTGACCTGTGATATGGGATTATTTGACACATAAAAAAAATGTACTCTCGAGTAGTTGCATGGACTACACATACTATACTCACAAGCGCATTATATTATAATATTTAAATGAATACATGTATAATATGTATACATGTGACGGTAATAAAACGCCGACGAATAATATTATACATATAGCTATGTAGTAATAATAATTAAGCGGTTAAATATTATATTATGTACTAATACAACATGATGGGATATCGTTCACGTGCGGACGAGTGGTTTGTATATTATCTAGTTCGTGGGTGGAAGTACGTCAGACGCTTATAATATTCTATCCCGCGCGATCACTTTAATATATTAATATTATTAAAACGAAAAACCAATCTCGTACGAACCACCGCTGGACCAGTCCTCGGGACAGCTCGATAATTAAAACCCGATAAATTCGTTTCGGCAAAGTAACACAGTAATAATTATCGTTTTGGCAGCAATAGCAGCAGCAGCTGCCATTACTTCTGATGATATTAAATTTTATATATTGTAAAGTAATTAGCTTTCCCCCTAATACATATATATACCTGTCGGCAATAATAATAATATTTTGAATTGTTGCGAGACAGGCGCTTAAAATACGCAATCAGTAATACAAAATACATCATTTTATCAGATCATTATACTAATACGTCTTATGTACAACTTAATATTATAGTTCAAATATTAAATAATTTAGGCGCACAAGTAAATTTTATTAAAATAATGAATATTACCTATTGATAAACATTACCCTTAAATCTAAAGCAAAAATAATCATTTCGTTGCGACTACACTCTGGTTGTATAGCAAAAAATATGCTTGTAAAATGTCAAATTAATTTACGATAATCAAATTTTATTTAACTCAACCATCAACCCACCAATAATACGAAACATCTGAAAATACTACGATGCGGTCATAATTAAGCCGTTTGAGGTACATTCAGGCACTTGATTATGGTGATTGCACCTAATAAATTTTATAAATGAAAAAAAAATTCTTCAATTACATTTTAATACTATACTGGTTTTCAAATCGGTATTATTACGATTTTCTTTATTATTTTTTCCTAGACGACTGCAATGTACCTATAGCTAATTTTTATAAAATAAGAATTGCTCGTATGTATTCAAATTGTTTAACGTGATGAATATAATATTATTAATTTGCGCAATTGTGTCATCGTATTGGGAACATTCGAAACGTGTGATTTTTTTTTAATTTCGATAATTTTTGATTCGATTGAACTACAAGAATGTTTATGTCATTCGAAGTATTTTTCAACCGTCGAGAGTTAATATGTTTGTTATTCGTGTGTCGTTACTTGTTAGGCTGCAGGTTAATATTGCTGGCAAGTCGTAATCTGCCTTGTAACAAACTTACGAGTATAACCTTGCATTAACAACCTCAATAATGTTAAATACAAAACCCAAACGTGCCAAGTATATTAGTTTATTGAATAAATAAAATTTATAAATGCGCACAGACCTGGTATGTAAGAATCATATTTTTTATAACACGCAACATAAACGTGATATATTGTACTATTATAACGATCTGCCTATTCCTGTCGCTTCTGTACTTGTATAGTTGTATATAATATTATCTTATATGATTGTGTTTGACTTTGCTATACTAAACCGACAAAGAATCAATAAAAATATATATTAAAATATATAGTTAGGTTTATGTGAATAATCCTTAAAATGCTTTACGTACGACGTACGAATAATTATTAGTTATATTATATCGTCTAGTTTTTATGTTAGAACACATTGCGCTGTTTTAATAATGACGAAGACTACATCGTCTTTTATAATATGACGTAATATATGTGTATATTGTTTATAAGGGAGCTGTTTATGTTTGCGTAGGTACCTATATATGATTTTTAGATTTTATTTTCACTCAATTACCAGGTCTCGTTAATCATACTGTACGTCTTCGTTCTTGTAAAACCACGTTGAAGTGCTCAGTTAGGCCGCTCCTAATCGTTTAATGGTGCTTTTATTAACAGACAGAGATAACAACATCTCGATGCTTCTCGTCTGGCCCTGTTTCGTATGAAGGAGACAATAATGATTGAGAGTGTATAGAGCTGCTTGTAAATTGAGATGAAAACAGGGACGAACGGAAGAAACCAATCTGACCAAACGCGAGGTCCCTACTTGAACATCACTCGAGTTGTCGTGTATCATCTTGAATTTAAAATAAATGTATAATCTTAGTCAGATTGAAAGGGAATATTAAAATTGTATTATAATATGGTAGTAGCTTAGGTTATTTTTCTCAATATTTTTAATGATTTATTTTGCTATTAATATTTATTTATCATATTATTATACTAAATTAAAATGTTTTTTTTTTTTTTTTAGATATTTGAAAAATGATTAATCATCGAATTCCATCGAAAATATTACCAACGGTAGTTGTGGCAATTGTCTTCCTAGTCGAAGGATTATGCCTGCCAGCCCATTCGAAAAATGTATTATTAGAAGGTAAATAAATAAACACGTTAATAAAATAAATATTAGGTCAATTGTTATTTTTTTGAAAAAAAAAAAAAACATTCAATTAATTTTATTTAACATTATTTTAAACAGATATTTAATTTGAAATTATCTGTAGTCGTGTTATAAAATGCTTCCAATTTATTATTATACACGTAGAAATGAAATTTACACTCGGTCTTTGACGAAAAAAAAAAGAATTTCCTCGTGATTTGTATAAAAAACGAATTCATAGATCATGTTCTATAATAATAATGGTCTGGCGACTGGCAGATTTAAATACAAAAAAACTGGGTGTATTAGTCACAATAAATTTTGAGGAAACAAATACACACACACACACAGAAATTCAACATGTGTATGATTCATTAACATCACAGACTGAGACATGTCTCAAACACACGAGTGTATGTTGAATATGTATGTATATCATATGTATAGTGGCGTCTAATATCCGTATATCTGTTATTAAAATAATTATTTTACTGCGATCTAAACTGGCGCCGATTCACGTTATTCGTTGGCAACGGACGATAGATCATAATGATACAGTCGTTGTCCGTTTATAATGATACATTGTATAACAGTTTTGCAACGAACCAAATTTAAAACAAAATGAACGTCGTTCGTTTTTTGCACGGTTATAGCTCAGGATTCGGAAATCGGCCGTAGAAAATAATACGTGCAAATCACCTCACGTATATACTTCTATACATACATACACACAAGATATATTATAAAATATATTAAATTAAAAGTATGCTTATATGTATATATAGGTATATTATATTCTGTATAGAGTTGCGTGTTTATGTTCTATGTTCTATTATATATTATATAAAAATATCCTAACGCCAAAGGTTAGTAGTCCACCATGACCTTTGGAACGTGTCCAGAAACGAGTACGGAATATTGCTTCGCAACCATTTGATTTTTTACTTTTTTTTTTATTTATTTTTTTTTCTCGGAACGCAACGCAAAGAAACTCGTGCGTATTTTTCAGAATTGCGAGAGGGTCGAAGTTTAAAAATACGCTTCAAAACGGTATTGGATTTCGAATAAAAATAAAAAAATCTTATTCGACTAAGACGTTCTGTATTGTTTAATACGTTATGTTGCATACATACCCACTATTAATATTATTATATTATTTATAGATTCATTAACCCGACCGAAGCATAATTATTATGATAATAACAATATTTCGCCAGTGTACTTATATTATTCTATACAACATTTTTACATTTCTGTTTTAAAGGTGTCGGTTAAAATTATCACTGCTTACATGAAAATGTCTTGCGATAACTGTATTTACCGTAATATTTAAATATGATACGTCGTTTAATAATACTTAGATTATCGACATAATTTGGCGTTGGTTTTATATTTTAATCAAATATAAGGTGTATAATAAATTATTATAACGCTCGTAAAAAAAATTAATTTTTATTCGCCTGAAGCAGTCGTTTTATTAACCATGTTTATTCTGTACGCAACCACTGCGACTGCACGCATGTATAAATATAGAATGTCTGAAAGTTTGTATCTTGTTTTTAAAAATATAAATCTCTATAATATACATGGATAAAATAGATATATATTTACATAGTAATATAATCGTTAAACAAAACTTGTATATGTACGTTGATTTAATAATGAACAATAATGTCATATTATTATTTATTATTATGAAAAAAATAACAATTTATTCAGAATTAAAACAGTTACAAATAGGTATATCGTATAAGTATGAGCTTATTATAGTAATTTAATAGAATTTAACGTTATTAACGTGTTATATTACTTAATATCCAGTGGTAGGTGTAGCGCTGTAGCTTACAAAGTGTGTAAATGTATGTTTATATTAAATTTTTTCATAGTTGGTAATATATAGTATTGTTTTATTTTTAGACGAAGTAAGTACTGTTCCGGCTGTAGAAGGTGATCGTTTAAACATAAAATGCGATTATTCAGAAGCCATCAAGATCTCTAAGGTGCAATGGACAAAAGAGTCAGACGACGAAACTCCGTTTGACTCACCAAGCATATTGTCAAAAAAATTACAATGGTATACGATTTTTTCAACAATAATATTATAACTTATAAGTTATAAGTAAACGATTACTGATTAGTATTGTCTATTCCGATTCAATAGGTTGCGTTTCAAGAACGTAAAACACTCTGATCATGGACGATATTCTTGCTTGATCAGTGGTTTTACCGAGAACGGAATGTTTTCTAAATGGCGTAATTTTACGTTGATAACGTACAAAAGATCGGAAACAACCGGTAATGGAAAAACGCTGAAAATGACAGCGCCTCTGAGCCTTTCACATCGAAAGGACGGAGTCAAGCCGAAATTTATCAACAGACTTTTCATGGATAACAACGTCGCGTTATTAGTAGACGACATTTTAACATTAAGTTGTCCCTTTGAAAGTAAGAAATTTGTATTTTCATTTTATTTTTTACTTACAATCATTCAATTATAACAAACTTAATCACCTCTGCTTTGTACTTTATGTATATCAATGATATTATAGAAGATATAATTGCTTGTACTTTACCATCTGTCATAAATAAATAAAAAAAATTATTTTAACATATATTTATCTATATTCTTAGAAGGAGAAAAGGAAACATATATATTGTATGTGTCATATTAATTAAAATTAATAAATGTATATATTTTTTGAATACAGGTACATCTGATGTAGTTTTTTCTTGGTATAAAAATGAATTGTTACTCATTGAAGGAGGTGCAGACGTTAATAATTACACACTGAGTCAAGTAAAATTGTCAGATGCGGGAAATTACACTTGTATAGTGAAAAATGATTTCGGTTCTATCCAACACAGATTCAATGTGGATGTTTATGGTAAGATGATTATAAATTAATGTGCCAATTTTTTTCTTTATTATACATAACTGGTTTAATTAATTTACAGAAGACCAAAATAAACTACCTCTTTTAGTCGAATATCCGCACAATTTGACCTTAAAGCCAGGTGATACAGCACGGTTTTCTTGTAAGACTTTTGATCAACTTAATACAAAAATCGACTGGTATTTTTTAAATAGTACAAATCCACGAGACATAGAGACCGAGGACCTTTTATTATTTAAAAAGATGGCCAACAATCAAAACGTAAGATTATTATTAACATATTATTTAAAATTTTATTAATCTTAATTTATTATTAATTGTCAGCAATAAAACGCATATTCTTTTATTTTATTTTGTAATTAAGTACGTATTAGGAATATGTATATTAAGTACTAGTTCTGAATTTTCATCAAATAGACTATAGCTAATACGAAAAAAAACATACAATAATATTTAACGTAATCATAATACTAAACCTTAAATATTTTTTATTTTTATAAATTTAATCCATCCATACACAGCAGTTAAAATATTTTAATTTGAAGATATCCAAATAAATATTATTTTTTATAGGTTAAATTGTTAAATGGTGTATTGGTACTTGAAGGCGTTACAATCGATGATGTCGGTTGGTATGTTTGTTACACAAACGGATCAAAAACGCGTGTAATGACTGGTGCTAAATTGGATGTAGACAAAAGTTTGGGTACGAAAAATCATACTTGTTTTGCTAATATTATCATACGATTATTGAACTTTTTAATTTTAATTTTAGTCAATGATGCAAATGACCAAGACTTTGGAATCGAAGTAGAAGATGGAGAAATTATCGACAATTCAAGAAAAATTGGATTTTTCAATGCCACAGAAAATTCTACTGCTCCTAAATTCACGAAACTTGATAGCATGCACAGAGTGATCGCAAAACCCGCCGGAAATATGTTAAAGTTAAAATGTGTGGCTGAAGGTAATTGTCAATAGTGTAAAGCTAATAATTAGGGTTAGGATGTTTATGACCTTAAAAAACACTAAAAAATACATGCAAATATGCTCAATAAATATCAAAATATGCATTTAAAAAAAATTAAATGTCTTTTTAAAATTAGTTTATTAGGTACTAATCCAAAATCTATTCCTAATCAATTTACAATACTATTTTTATAACCTTAGACTTAAATACAAATATGAGATTTTTGAAATTAAAAATAAAGGCATCACCACACTATTGCGATCATCGTTCATAAACATGATTATATTGATTAATAAACATATAATTATAGTAAAGATAAATAAGTAATAAAGATAAGTTAATAATTTAAACTACACGTTTTTCTCGTTTTTATTAGTCATGAAACCAACAATGCCAATC